AGCAGCAAAGGGACAGATAAATCCGACGGGACGGTAAATTATTCAAATAGTTAAATTTAAATGCAATCGCGCTGAACAGTTAAGGCCAACTGTTTTTATTTATTGACCGGTCTGTAAATCAATTAAACTTAACTTAAATTTAAACTACAATCGCGACAAGTAATAAATTGCAGGAACCTAATGTATCTACCGTTGTTTCAATCAAGCATTTTTGTAAAGCACAAAATTACATACCACCACAGCATTTCACTTGTTGATTAATTAGGCTTACCTGAAAAAAACAAAAATAAATTTAGCCTAACGAAAGTTGCTTAAAAAAAATGCGTTAAAGATAAATTTTAAATCAAAGGGGATAAATCGTGTTTAAATTATTCCAGTTAAATTATAAAATTTCGTATACCCTTTATATTTTTATTTCTGTTACAAAAACCATAATATAAATTCAATCTATTCGAATACACTGTTATAAAAATCAGATTTGTTAAATTTCTTTATAATTTGATGATTTTAGAATAGTGTGTTATTTAATTTTGTGTATGTTATTTTTGTGTTCATTTATGTAGGTATGTATGTGTTAATTCTTTTGTTTAGGAAACTGATTAATAAAGCAACATTTCTTATCAAAATTCTTTTCATTTAAGAAATATTTTTTTACTGTGTGGTTTAAATAGTTTAAATAGTTCGAATAGTTTGAATAGCACGGCATGCTTAATAATTTTGAATTGACATTTGTAAAACAACAAATGACAATTCTCAATTATTAAGCATGCTGTGCTATTCAAACTATTCGAACCATTGGAACTATTTTAGAATACAATTAAAACTTAAATACAGGGTGTTATGGAAAGCACTTCGGTAATTCTAGTCTATCAATGAGTAAATCATTTGAAACAACTTTTGCCTAATACATTTTTTTCAAACTCTTCTAAAGTAACAATTTGAATGCTATCTGACAATTCAGCATGACATTATGATAAAATAGCGCAATGAATATTAATTCTATTAAAAGTGAGAGATACATAATCTTAATTTTACTGAAAGTAAAAGATACCTAACCTTAATTATTCGATTTTTTGTTATTTACGACTAACGCTCAATGCAATGTTGTCGGATTTAAATTTTATTTTAATATCAGTAACATTTGATAAAATTAAAAAACCAGAATTGACTAAAATAGGTGCATATAACATTTTTTGATTCAAAGACTTACTGATTTATGCCCTAAAATTACCAAATCACCCTGTATAATGGAATGTGGCTTTTAGTTTGTGTGTATACCAAAATTATGATGTGCAATAGCTAAAAATCAGGAAAAATGTGTTTTTCTACTACCACCTTTAAAACGCCCTTTATCGTACATGTTTCCATGACACTAAGTGACCTTTTAAATAAATACACATTGACAAGTTGTGGCTTTATGGCGCTTTAGTCACGGGCTGAAGTTAGCAACAGGTTTTTAGTCACGGGCTGAAGTTAGTTTTAAGTTAGTTGACAGTTGTCAAATGTCATACAATCGTTAAAATAAAGTGCCTTTCTTGAAAAATAAAACTAAATGTGAAAATTATTTTATTATCTCCATACAAAAATACAAAAGTATTAAAAAGTTTCTCAACGCCAATATTTGAAAAGTTTATATGAACAACGCCTACAGTAAACTATAACTTAAATTCGGGCACGGACTTCACTGTAAAGTGCTCATAAAACATTTTCTTTACTTTCACTGTGAAAAACTGTCAATTTTCAAGAAATACATTTCGATTTATAACCTTTATAATATAAAAATTTGACGGTGACACACAGATTCCCCTATTGTTTTATACAGGGTGTCTCAGTTGGTTTTTCACTTTTTGTGGCCCTGTAAAAAGTTGTTAGGTGGGTTGGAAGCGTGGGGTTAGTCGTAAACAAACGCTTGGTATTGGGAAATTTAGTCAACCTGCAGCGTTACACAGGAGAACAACGCGCTTTTTGTGTGCGCGAGTTTTATAAAAATAGCAATTCTTGCACTCTCGTTCGACGTTTGTTTAGACGCCATTACAATTTACACGACATTTAACAATGCCCAGGCATTAATTTAATTAGGGCATGGGTTCGTAAGTTTGAAGAGACTGGTTCAACGACAAATAAACGCATAACCAACCGTTTAAGAACAATAAGAAGCCCTGAAAACATTGAGATGGTGAGAGCGTCTGTGGGGCAGGAACCAAACTTGTCGGTTCGCAGGCGTTATGTCGACATGATACGTGATTTTTTTACACCTGCTCTTCAAGAATTTGAAGAATTTGACCAAGAAAGCTGGTTTCAACAAGACGGAGCCACAAGTCACACTTCAAATCGATCTTTTCCCGTTGTTCAGGAGTTTTTTCCTGAAAAACTGATTTTCCGAAGAGGTGACATAAATTGGCCCCCCAGAAGCCCGGATTTGACTCCATGCGACTTCTTTTTATGGGGATATCTTAAAAGTCGAGTTTATCGTAACCACCCTGCCAATTTGGAGGACTTGAAGCACAATATTCGGGCAGAAATGAAAGCCATAAGTGAGAAAACTTTTCGGAGCGTGATTGCAAATTTTAGAGCTCGACTTCAAGAGTATCAGGAAAAAAATGGGCAACATTTGGACAATATAATTTAAAACAAATAAATTTCCCAAGTTTTTTCTTTAGTTTAATAAAAAAATTGTCAAAATTGATCGATTGGTTTTTTTTAATTTTAAATTCAAAAAGTGAAAAACCAAATGAGACACCCTGTAGATGGCGCTCTATACAAATTTTTGCACATACTGTATGACATTTGACAACAGTTAACCAACTTAAAACTAACTGCACTAAAACGTCATAAAGCCACAACTTGTCAATGTGTATTTAAAATATCACTTAGTGTCATCATCACATGGGCGTTTTAAAGGTGGAAGTAAAAAAGAAAAATTACTAATTTTTTCTGTACATTTCAAAGTTATGTATTTCAGAAAGTGTATAATAATAAAGGAATTTAGGTTATTACAAAATAAAGCGACTAGAAAATAAGGTTAGAACAGTCTTACAGATATGTACATATAAATAGTATTTAACTTTTTTTATAAACTTTTCTAGACACTCGTTTATTAAACACTCGCTCGTGCCTCATTAATCGTAACTTAAATTCCGTTAATTAAACTTGTTACTTATTATACTTTTAATAAACATGTCAACATAAAAAACATGTTTAATAAAATAAAAACATTTTTTAATAACCCTCAAGACTATTAATAAAAAAATTGAGTTTTAAACTGATTTAAATGGGTAGGTATTATAATAAACCTCGTTTGGAATCTGTCTGTTTCTTATTCAAAAATCGCACCAGAAAGTGATTGGAGCGTTCGAATTCAACAATAAAAAGATTTTCGACGCGATTGCTTATTTCGTATACCTACTTAATCGGGCTCAGGCAATTCGGCACATCAGATAAAACGATGTTAATTCTAATTGCCGCGAACGACGCCGCGCCATTGTTTTACTGCATTTGCGATTAAGTAACTCACCATTGAACAAGATTTCACTTTTTACAGTTACAATGGAAACAGAAAAAAGAATTAGTAAAAGCTAATAAATAAATCGATTTGTAAGTAATATGTGGGTACAGTATTTGTTACGTGCAATAAATTTCCATGTATGGAGTATTAGGCAACAATAAAAACAATTTAAACAAATTTCCTAAATCTAGCTAAATAAATAGCTCGAAGCGTTCAGATTTATTTCCTTTAGCAATCCTGGGCGGCAAAAATCATTAAAATAAATAATTTCAATATTTTTTCATTTAGTTTACTGTAGATTTTTGCCACTTTTTTTAGGTTTTAATCGCTGAAGTACAACCGTAAAATGTTTTTTATAAGTCACAGACTGCTATTTTTATCAGTAATATTGTTTACAAAACACTTAATTAGTCAATAACCACTTGAAAAATTGACGCCATTAATTTTAAACAATGACAGATTACGTGGTAACCATAGATATTGTCAACTCATTTTAAAATCGTTAAATATCTCTTAAGTTATTAACTTTAGGTATATAAAATATTCCTATAGGAAGTAATAACATTAATAGAAAGGTTTTTTAATTTACTTTTCGATTAGGTAGATAAAAACATACCAGGTTATTAACGTTTCAAGTTAGCCTAATTTGCCTGCGTTTTATTAGGTAATTTGTAAAAAAAATGTTAAAGAATTGACATGGATTTTTTAGACTATGTTTTAAGATTTCAAAAATTCCTCCCATATATCCGCAAACCTAATAACAAAAAAGATATAGGCTATATTTGATTGACGCGCATTTGTCAAATCTTAACAAAAAAATTAATACCTAATTCGAAAACTATTCACTTTAGGTATAGGACATGGTATAATAATTTTACTCAGAATTTAATGTAGAAACGTAAAAATATATTGGGTGTTCTATTTTATTCAAAATAATTTAGGGTATTTCCATTGCAACGGGTGCGACACTAAAACTGTGTTTTTTCATGATAATAAAGTGTTTGTTCATATATATCAGTTTACGATAATATAAAAAATAGCATGAAAAATTAGGTATTACTCAAACAAAATCTCAATAAAAACTTATATAGAAAACCTTTTATAACGTCATGAATATCGTAACGGGCGCGACCTTAGAAAATCGGCAAATGCGACCAAGTTGGCTTCTAAAGTTGATACTGTAAAATTTGGATGAAAGCATATAGTAATAATTTTTTGTGTAAAACTTGAATAGTAACCTTAAACAAGCACGTATTTTAAATGCACAAAAATTGCAATTATTTTCTAAAATGTTCTCAAAATGTAACGGGTGCGACATTTGAACATTTTAATAATAATAATAATAATAATAATCTTTATTAGTGCTAAACCAGTAGGTGTACAACGTCAATACAGAGAAAATAAACATTAGGTAGTAGATACAAGTATAAATAAATTATAAATAGAATAGACATATGAAATAAAATGAACCTATAATATAAAAGCTGCCAATGAGCTAATCCCAAATCTCACTCAAAAACTCATCCGTACTGTAATATGCTTTGCGAATCAAACGTTCTATAAGAAACAATCTTAATTCATCAAAGCTTAAATTTTTTCTTTGATTTGAAAGTTTATTGAAAAATTTTATTCCATGGTACTCTGGCCCATGTTGAGTTTTTGACAGTCTTGAAAACCTCACAATTAAATCATCTTTGTTTCTTGTATGATGCTGGTGAACAGTTGTATGTGTTTTATAATTTGATAAATGTTTTTTGACATATAATATATTTTGCAGAATAAATGCTGATGGGAATGTGAGTATTCCCAGATCCCTGAAGGCAGCCCTACAATCATCCCTATATCCAAGTCCAGCTACAATTCTAACCACCTTCCTTTGTAATGCAAAGATTATACCTGAACTGGTTGCATGACCCCATATTATAAGAGAATATGTCATGATTGAGTGGAAAAGTGCATGGTAACAAGACAACAGAACCTCCCGAGACACAACTGCTTTCAAGTTTCTTATTACGAATATATTTGTTGACAACTTTTTAGAGAGAAACTCAACATGTTTATCCCATTTTAGTTTATCGTCTATGAATACGCCCAAAAACTTTACCGCCTTTTGAGTTGCAATATTATTATTTCTCAAAGTAAACACGATCTCATTAGTCATATCTTTATTTAAGACTAGGTTGTTTGAAAGAAACCATTCCTCGGCATTTGTCAGTGCGTCACACGCACTTATCTCCAAAAGCTCAATATTTTTGTTTGATACAGATATAGTTGTATCATCAGTAAACAAAGTAAAGGTAACTTTGTCATTACTGTATGGCAGGTCATTTATAAAAATTAAGAAAAGTAAAGGGCCCAAAACGGATCCCTGGGGTACCCCCACAGTAATTTCTTCTCTACCCGATAACAGTCCATTCACTCTACAAACCTGATATCTTTTAGTAAGATAGGATTCTAATATTTGCAAACTTTTATAACCAAATTTATAACACTTGAGCTTTCGTAGAAGTAGTGCATGTGACACACAGTCAAATGCCTTACTTAGATCGCAAAAAATTGCTGATTGATATTTTAAATCTTCAAATGTTTCAAATACATTTCTAACAAAATCCAAAAGACCAGTGGTAGTATTGTGTTCCTTTCTAAAACCGTGTTGACATTTGACAAATATATTGTGCCTCTCAAAGAATTCCGTCATTCTCACCGCCATGCACTTCTCCACCACCTTCGACATGATGGGCAAAAGAGAAATGGGTCGATAGTTAGAAGGATCATCTGTATTGCCTTTTTTATAGACAGGTACTACTAGGGCCTCCTTCAGAACATCTGGGAACACTCCCTCCAAAAAACATAAATTTATTAATTATTATTATTCAGTATTGAAACTCTTCCGTGCTTATTCTTAATGTTTGCTTCTTAGCATCACAATGTACGAATATTTTAAGGTTATAAATTACGTCACAATTAAACTATTTGACTTCATATATAGTTATTTTGTTAAATAACACATCTTATTTTTTTGTCAAGGTGGGATATCTTTTTCCGTTACCTATAAATTTCTTATGGACCACGAAGGTGAAACACCCTGTATTTTGTTAATGACTATAACTATTTTCATTTTTTATCTAAGTATAAAAGTTCCAGTAAATTTATAAAAATAATAATGATTTAAAATTTTAAACCAACTCTTTAAATCTTTGTCTCCTACCGTTTTCTAATGCTACAACCAAATTACCGTTAAATTTGTATTTTTTAATTGAAATTCAGTTATTACTCGTGCCTCCAAGCGAAAACAGTAGATGCAGAATTTTACGTATAGCTAAAATTGGTACGTGTTTAAGGTGAGGCAACTAATGCATTAGTAAGTGAATATAAAATCGTAAACCATAACATGCTATAAGTGATGATCAGTTCCTGCAAGTAACTGTGTAATCTTCATTTGAGCAAAAAATTATAACATATGTTAGAACAACCGTTTTACAGCTATATCTGGTATTTATTAATAAATCTCATGTAGGTATATACATAACTGTTTCATTGAGAGATATCAATTTTAATTTGTGAAGAAAAATTATGGTCAAGCAGAAACGAGCAATACATGAATGAATATTTTGAGTAGATGGTGGAATACTTTTTAAGTTTTGTGCTCTCTTTAAATGAAATAGTCAAAATTCTACTATTTGAATTAGTACCATCATTTTTTACTGTTAAAATAGTCGTTTTCACTTTTAAAAGTTTGACTAATTTAAGATTAGTAACCATCTTTGATTATTTCTGAGAGTTAAAATTAACTAATTTCTTTAATCGTTTGCGGCCAACAACAAAGTATTATTTGAATTAAATGCATATAGACTGCATTGTTAAATGGCACATAAATACAAACAAAGATGCAAAAAGTTTAGCTCAAAACAGCAACACAAATAATATATTCAAGTTTAAAATATTATGAACAATATTTATTGACAAATAAAATTGATTTTTATAAGGGTGAATGATAGCCACATTGGTTATGACAACAGCTTGACAAGTGACAGGCCTGAGTTCAATCTCCAGCTGGGTCAAAAGTTTTTTAAATTTAAATCTACTAATTTGACTATTTCATTCGGTAGAATTTGACTAATTATTGGTGGCTGCTTTTTCGCTATGACAATTAGTCAAATATGACTTATAATTAGTTAAGAGAGTGTGATATGATATTTAATCATTAATTAATCACAGATTTTTAAAGGACTCTAGAGCATGGTGTAGCTTATTTTTAATGGGTATAAAATTTAACATTTTCATTTTAGGAGAAAGTGTTAAAATTGGGCAACGTTCCTCTTCTAAAATGTAATAAAAAGTAGATAAAATATTTCACCATTACAATTTATTACGCATACACCAATTTATTAAAGCAGTAAATTTAATTCATAGTGCTTAAATTAAAAAAATTGGTGAGCAACTCACGACTTCAATTAATAGGCACCTATAAGAGATGTAACGGCTCGCTTCTAACAATATACGATGGTAAAAATGAATAGTTGCGTAGATACCTAATCTAAGGTAAGTAAATGTTACGTAAAACTTTCACTGGATCTGTTTAGATCAAAGAAGGCAGGCAGTCAAGTCAAGGAGGGCGTGGGAATGGGTCTGTAAGTGAATGCTCAATATTCACGATGCAAAGCCAAGACCCATCGTTGTTATGGCATTTTTGCATGTTAAGGCCGATGTTCCGTGCATGCCCGACGTATGTACGGAAGTGCAATAATGCATTGTTTTACATTATTTATCTATTTATACTATTATTCTTTACCTATAACTACCGTGTTTCATGGTTCTGAGCTTTCGTTTCATAAATCAAGGTAATATCCAGTCGAAGCGAAACGATACCCGAGTAAAAAACTGATGATTTGTTTCTTAATAAGCAGGAACCTTGACCATGAATCAACATACTAGATCACGAATTTTGATAGACCTTGCCCTAGAGCGACAAAAAAAAGACATCGCTTTTTTAAAAACAGGTTCATCTAAAAAATTAAATACCTACCATTCCTAAACTGTAATATTATAAAGATTTCTCCATTTTTAACACTTAAATATAAGCGGTAAACGTATAAATGTGATTTCTTTCGTTGAATATACTTTGACAGATAGATAACCTTAAATGCCTTAAATGACAAATTTTTAAAAGACTGCGTTCCGTACAGGCATTTTAAGTTATGTATCTGTCGAAGTATAGTCAATGAAAGAAATAATATTTATACTTTTACCACTTATATTTAAGCGTTAAAAATGTATAAATATTTATAACAATAGTTGGTTTAAGACTTTGTGCATTTGGTCTACACATCTGGTTTTCTTCCTAAAATAGTTTTAACTAAATGACATTACATATCTGGTTTTCTTCCTAAAATGTTTTTAACTAAATGACATTTATTAAAAAAAATCTAGGTTTTCTATTATGAAATAAGGATATTTGCATCAAAGGTAGGTTAATATAACAAAAGTTATCAACTAATTTTGTAATTTTAAGGTTAGAAAAATCTATTTTGACCAAAATTAATAAGTATTATGGATTATTTGGAAGTGTGTTAATATGGTCATATAAATCCTAAATAATTGTGGAATATGGTTGAAATAAATTAAAGCTTTTATACTGCTAACAGCAAAACTTGTGCATACCTCTCGGCATACCTACTTTAAGTTAGATTATAAGAAAAGAAACAATTTTTAGAGAAACTTGCAATGTGAAAATATTAAATCCCATGACATATGATTTATTTAAATTTTAAAAGTTATTTTTAAATGTAAATCAAATTCAACCGAAGCTTTATACCTACTTGAATTGGCAAAACTTTTTGTAGGTACACTTTAAGCTGGATTAGAATGTTTTTATAAGAAATTTTAAAGTAAAAATATTAGATGCTCTTATATTGTGGGATTTATAAATAAAATAGTTGAATTTTTCAAGGAAACCTTAACAATAAAAAATAATAGTTAAAATAAAAACAAAACACAAATTTAATTAAATTTTCCAAAAGAAGTTTCACAATAAAAAGCGCACAAGAGTACAATTTTTAGGAATTAAAAAGAGAACAATGTATTTTAATTACAATCGTTATTGCCTATATATTGTATATACACAGGGTGTTATATAGTTGAAAATCAATTAGGTACCTAATTTAAAAAATCGTAAATTGTTTTTACACCTATAGGTATACAGGGTGAGTTTTAAGTTGACGCGTTCCTTTTAACAGTGTGTAGAAATCAGCTAGACAAATAAATATTTTAAGTAACTTTTTTATCAAAACTCAAAAATAAAAAAGTTATAGCCCATCAAAGTTTTATTAAATTTTAAGCCGGTCCTGGCTATTGTTAACGAAAAACATAACCATAAAAATATCAAAATAAACAATGCAAAATGTCATATTCGACAACAAACATAACCATTTAAATCAAATTGACATTTTGCAATAAAATATGTCATTATTTACTTAAGTTGCAGCATTTGCATTTTGACAACACTCTCCATAATATATTATAATAAATTAGTAACATTTCCACTAATTCATTATTGCTATAATTATGAACCATTTTTAACAATAAATGAAGCACAAAAAAACTGATATTTTTTATTGCTAAATGTCATTTTGATTTAAATGGTTATGTTAGTTGTCATAGATGACATTTTGCATTGTTTATTTTGTTATTTTTATTTTTATGGTTATGTTTTTTGTTAACAATAGCCAGGACCGGCTCAAAATTTAATTAAACTTGGAAGGCCTATAACTCTCTTATTTTTGAGTTTTGATAAAAAAGTTACTTAAAATATTTATTTGTTTATCTGATTTCTACACGCTGTTAAAAGGAACGCGTCAACTTAAAACTCACCATGTATATAGGTATATATTTACAGCTATGGGTATATTACCTTACAGTGCAAGGAATTTTAAGAAGGTAAGCTACTAAATTTAAAAAAACATATATATTTTTTGAAATTTAGTAGCTTACTATCGATATATCGCTAACAAAAAAAACTCATACAGCTATATTGTGGCTGTGTGAATAAAACTTTTCCGTCAATTTCAAGCTGACATCGAGCTTTGTCACATCCATTATGACTTTTTTAACAACATTTTCAACCAAACAATGCAGACGAACTCTGGCAAGCCATTGAAGCCATTTGGAACGAGATAAAGCAAGACGGCGACTTCCATGCTTTGCCGTTTTGCGGGCAGTAATTGACAAAAACAGAGGGATGACGAAATATTATTTTTTTTTCAAACTTCAACCTAACTAAAATATTTAATTTTAGACCTTTTAAATGTGACGTATCATGTTAAAAGCCATAATTACTCCAAAGAAATGATAGAAAATCAGAAACACTAGATTTTTAAGCTGTACTGAGTTTTTTTTGTTAGCGATAGTACCTTCTTAAAATTCCTTACACTGTCAGCTAATATACCCATAGTGTCAATACAAGTACCTAGTACCCAAGTACCTAAAAGCTTTGACAGAATTTGATTTACATCGAACAATCATTATAACCTTATAAAATTTAAATAAATCCCACAGTATAGTATGTAGTAATTTAACTATACAATTTTTTCTAAAAAAATTGTGGTAGTTTTTTAATCCAGCTTAAAGTATAGGTACCTAAATAAAGTTTTGTCAATACAAATAGATATAAAGCTTCGACTGAATTTGATATACATCAAAAAATCATTATCACTTTTAAAATTGTTTGTTTTCCTATAATCTAACTTAAGGAAGGTATGCCCAGAGGTATAAAAGCTTCAATTTAATTTGAACCATATTCAACATTTATTTAGTACCTATACCTATATTTATATGACCATATTAACAGACTCTTCCAAAAAATCCAAAATAGGTACTTATTTATTTTGGTAAAATAGATTTTTCTAACCTAGAAAAGCTAGATTTTTTTTAATAAATGTCGTTTAGTTAAAACTGGCCCCATTCGGGGCCGTATTTCAGATTTTAATGCGATGCACCACAGGGCCGGCTTTATTATTTTGTATTAATTTAGTTTTAAATTAAATTTGGAAAAAAAGAACGCAAAGACACAAATTAAATAATAATAAACGGTATAAACACTAATTTAACAACAAAATAAATAGTTCACCAACAAGGACAGGTTCTAGCAGCGTACTAACACCCCGGCTTAAAAATACAAGAACAGCACAGAAGAAAGAAGAACGACCAATAGCCAATGCAGACCATATGGTGGCATTCCACCACATACACTACAGGGCCGGCTTTATCGATTTTGTATATTAATATTTATATTTTTAAATTAAATTTGGAAAAAAAGTAAGAATGCAAAGATATAAATTAAATGAAAACGGTATAAACACTAATTTAGCAATAAAATAAATAAAGAGTATACAAGGCTGGTAGCCGGACTAAGCAAAGAACTAACATACCCACCCCCATTCACGAATACCAATTGAATGGGGATACTACTAAGGCCTTGGTTGAGGAGGATTCCGGATTGTACTTAGTTTTGGGTCAGTTCAATGTCCTCCAAAAACCCTTCCTAAACTGGACGTATGGCCCGACCAGGCTGACAAAAATTCCGGGAGCGGCCTTAACCTTTGACACTGTCATACACAACCTCCTAGGGTGGAACTACCAGCCGGCGTAAAAACTTCGGATCCAACAAACACAGGTAATGCTGTGATTTGGCGGGATACGCAGGAGAACGGAAAGGGGGTAAAATAACCCCGGGAGATTAGTGGATGACAATATATCTGGGGCCTGCCATACGTTACCATACTCATACTCATACCCCATTCAGTTTTATTGTGATAATACATATAAAGATTTATAAATTTTTAACGCTCAAATATAAGCGGTAAAAGTATAAATATTATTTCTTTCGTTGACTATACTTTGACAGATACATAACCTAAAATTCCAAATTTTCAAAAGACTGTGTTCCGTAAATAGTCACGTGGTGGGACTTTGATGAGAGGAGCATAGTACATCTTTATTGGCGCAGTGAAAACCAAACCAAATGAAATAAAACTTACCTAATTTTTTTGTGGGCCGTTTAAGGGTAGAGGGCGCTCTAATAATGGTCGGCTTGACGACGTAAGTGATGCTACGTTTGTGAGACAGCGCCGACTTCTTCCGCCGGACCGGCTTCCTCCGCGGGATGGGGGAAACCCCCGGAGGTACATACGGACTGACGCACTTGGAGCTGCTGTCGTCGTCTCCGCTAACGACTCCAGAGACAATCGATTCCTCCTCGGAAAGCGGCGAAGTGCACGCGAATCCGTTGGAATCGTCGTCGTCGCGCAAACTGATCCTGGACACTCGGCCGCTCAAGGGTTGCTCGTCGGATAGGTAGTCGAAGTCGCCTGGGAGACTTTCGTACAGTCCCTCGTCCGCACTTTCGTTTACACTCGAATACATCGAACTGTCGAACGGGTTAAAGCTCCTAATTTCGCGCATACCGACTTTGAAAGACTTATTTCGCGTCACACCGCTGCTGTTTTTGCGCTTTTCCGGCGGCACGAAGATCATTGGGTCCAATTTAAGAGAACGCATCGAGCGTGCTGGTCGACTAACCACTACTTGATACAAGTCACTTTTCGCAGTACCATTTTTATTTTTCTTTCCCTTATTTCCATTTTTCTTCCTGCTGCTACGTCTACGCACTGAGTTACGTTTAGGTTCCATCAAAACACCACTGGTTCTCTTGAAGTAACCATCCCGACTTACTGATAACTTGGGCTTTGGTCTCTTCTTCCTAAAGAAGCCTTTAGACGTGGACGGGGCAAAATTTGAATTGAAATCACTTAATTTTGGAGAAGAGAAAGAAAACCCTGAATCCTTACTGGAAAACAATCCAGTCGAATTAGTATTATTGCTAGTAGACGATAACGTTCTAGCTACAGGCGGTATGGGTCTTTTCTGTAACCTATTTATAACAATAGGGTCGTCTCTTAAATCCTTTAAAGCACTATCTAATGAATGATGCACAGGAGCGGAAGAACCTGACGGTCGCGGCATCTCCAGACTCCTCGGCGCAATGCCTTGAGGTGCATCCATCCAGATTCTACCTAGGCTAATGGATAAGGAACACATTTCTTCCGCACCAGAATCGGGCATTAAAGGCGTAGGAGATTGCCTTGAACGCCGGCGTATTAAAGGAGACTTTTTCACGTCTACTGAATCGCCCCAAGGAAACATCTCCACTGCAGAATCATTGCTTTCTTTCCGTTGCAGATTAGGGCTTCTTTTTGGTTCGAGTGATTTTTTCCTGAAAACTGGCGATGAGGAAAGCTGCATAATAACAGGCGACGGAGCCCGAACTTCATCGGAAGCAGGAACGTAAATAATTGTCCTTTCCGAACCCTTAATTTTATTGGTTTTGGGAGCATCATCTTTCCGAATGCCCTTTAACCATTGCCCGTAGGCTATTACACTTTGTCCCGGGCCACTTTTCGAGTCATTTTTCTTTTCCTTTTTCGGCGGTACATTTACACCGCCTATTATTTCCTCTGAGATGCTGAGATCGATTTTATTCACCTGACTAGAAAAATCTCTCTTCGTATCCTCCAGAATTGTCGAGAGTTCTTCTTCAGTAACCGTTTGAGTTGCAACCTCCAACTTCGGTAAATGCTTTTTCTTACCTCTGTCCAGGTAACTCTTCCTTATCGAAATCCTCTTAAAGGAATCGCTCCTTTTAAAGGACGACTCCTTGTCCTTTTTCTTCCTGCCGGCGCCCACGAGGCGCCTCAGGTTCTCGAAAGTTATGGGCTTCATCACGATTCACACTATTCTAGAATTTTCTTTGGCGGATTAGGTAGTCGGCAGCCCTTGGGGCACGCCATGTCGACTCGGTGCAGGAATGCGGCCCATTGGGCTTGCGGCACTAAAATTGTGGCGACATCGTTGCTGGCAGCTCGTTCGATGCGACGAACCTAAGAGGAATTAGTTTTGCCTTATTAAATTCTCTGTGATCGCCCGCGGCGGATCGTGAATTTGTACCAGTCATATCATGAGGTTCTGCGGAATTGAATAAAAACCCGTTGCCTTTATTTAACCAACAATACGCTGTTGTTTAGTCAAGATGGATGGGATTTGTAAAGGACCATTTATTTTAACGGAATAACGTTCTTTATAACAAAGTTCAGAATGTTTAGTTTAAGTAGACTAGTAAAAAAACTGTTATTATAATAACTATAGTTATTAAACATTTTCTTTATCTAAAAATTTAATATTTGCAGCGCCCCTAAATTTTTAGAATATACAATTAAAAATTATGACCTAAAAAAATTATTAAAAAAATTTAAAATAAAAAATATTCATATTAAACCGTACCACAAAGACGATACATTTTCCATTTAAATAACATGAAGTTTCGGCAAGTTTAACATTTATTTTTTTTCCTCCCGAGCAAGTTAATATTTAGCAATAAGTGATACATATTTTTATAGGAAATTAAACGATGTACAAAAAAGCTCTCTTATGATTTTCGATAATTTTACTGGTTTAAAAGTTATTTAAGGTTAAAATTGAACTTATAGTAATTTTTTCGATTTTTTTACTATGACTGCATAATTATCATTATTTTTATAAAAATAAATGGTTCTTTTTTGAAAATATGTGACTTTATTCTATTATTGAAAAAGTGAAAATTTTTGAAAAGAGATAAGTGAAAATTATTTATAAGAGATTTCGATAAATATTTAATTGTATATTCTGTAAGTTTGGAATACAGCATATTCCGCTCGAGTGAAGAGTTTGTCACACGTGTTTCAGACTATACTTTTTCTCGTTTCCAAAAAATACTATAGAAAAGTCATTTGATTGGAAAAAAGTGAGGTTGGATCGGTCTAAAATTTGTTAGATATTAAAAACAGAGATGTCGCTACGAGTGTTTATTCTGTCATAGGATGATAGAATATTTCATTCTGTAACACTTTACGGAATATATGTCATTCCATAGATAAAAGTGATAATAGAACGGTCAAATTCAATAATAGGAGTAGAAATTTTTTTTTATTACATTAAAAGAATCTGGTACTAGTTTTACTCAAATTTAGTACCATTACTTTTTTTACATAATCTTTTCATTTTTGTGAAATTTTACAAAATTTTATACGATTTTATAAAATATTATACAATGAAAAATTTTCCTTCGGCTGTAGCTAATGACGTAGAAATTCTTTTAACAATTATTTTTACGAAAAAATAAAATTTGTAGTTACGCATGCGCACCAAAGTATGATTTAGGCAGAAGTCGCACTTCACAGAATTAGTGTCGCAAAGTTGAAATTTGAAGTAGGTCAATCACCCATCGTCTGTGGCATCTTCTATATAATAGTATAGGTAGGTATTATGTATCAAGTTTTATAAACGCCATTTTAGTTACGGTTTTTAGTAGGCACGAGCGAAGCTTATTAAAAACGAGTGTCTAGATAAGTTTATAAAACGAGTTGTAAACTAAGTATACTTTATCTACGACGAACACGAAGAAGAATTTATAGCCAATTATATTTGTTAAACATTTGACATCTGTCAAATTTCAACGGAATTAACCTCACTTTTCTCTAATATATAATAAAGCTAATTTCAGTCTGTGACTAAAATGCCCAAAAGCCACTACTTTAGATGTCTCTATGATAACATTTAAAAAATACCTTAAAAAGCAAAGTTTAATCAACCCAAGAAATATTTGTTCAAATTTGTTTGTTACCTGATACTTATTTATTTATATATTTTTTATTTATATTTGTTTATTTCTAAGTTATGGTTTAAGCGGTAGACCAGCTATGCTGAGCTTACACCCATTGTGTTTTGTATATTATGTATATTACGCAATAAAGTTTATTATTATTATTATTGCCAACTTCAGCCCGTGACTAAAGCGTCATAGAGTCACAGCTCGTCAAGTAGATAATAGTATATTATGTATCAAGTTTGATAAACGCCATTTTATACACGAATTTAATTTAGGCACGTAGTGTATAGAAAAGTTTATAAACGAGGTGCATACTATACTTTTTCTACGACAAATACTTATTATTATCTTAAAATGATTTAAATCAAAAATTTGTATAGAGCGCCATCTATAAAACAATAGGGGAATCTGTGTGTCACCGTCAAATGTCAATTTTTTTATTTTATTAACACAGATTATAAAGGTTATAAATCGAAATGTATTTCTTGAAAAATGGACAGTTTTTTACAGTGAAAGTAAAGAAAATGTTTTATGAGCACTTTACAGTGGAGTCCGTGCCCAAATTTAAGTTATAGTTTACTGCCGGCGAAATTAAAAAATCAGTACAATGTTCATATAAACTTTTCAAATATTGGCGTTGAGAAACTATTTAATACTTTTGTATTTTTGTATTGAGATAATAAAATAATTTTCACATTTAGTATTATTTTACAAGAAAGGCACTTTATTTTAACGATTGTATGACATTTGACAACTGTCAACTAACTTAAAACTAACTTCAGCCCATGACTAAAGCGCCGTAAAGCCACAACTTGTCAATGTGTTTTTAAAAGGTCACTTAGTGTCATGGAAACATGTACGATAAAGGGCGTTTTAAAGGTGGGAGTATAAAAATACATTTAACTCATTTGAAAAGGATAATTGGTGTACCAGAAATGTCTGCATCTCATACTCAAGAATTTTATTTTTTCGTAAGAATACTTGTTAAAAGAATTTCTTCGTCATTAGCTGTACTGAACTGTACTGAAACTTTTTATTATATAATATTTTATAAAATCGTATAAAATTTTGTAGAATTTTACAGAAATCAAAAGATTATGTAATAAAGTAATCGTACTATTATTATGTAAAACTAGTACCAGATTTGTTTAATGTAATCCAAAAAATTGAATTTATCGGAATCTCTTGTCAATAATTTTCAATTAACTCTTTTCAATAATTTTTTTTTAATATTACATGAAAATCACTTATTTTTAAAAATAAAAAATTCATTTTAATAAAAATAATTATAATATTGCAGTCAAAGTAAAAAAATCGAAAAAATTTCTATAAGTTTAACTTTAACCTTAAATAACTTTTAAATCAGTGAATTTATGAAAAAATCATACGAAAGCTTTTTTGTACAGCGTTCAATTTCCTATAAAAATATGTGTCTCTTATTGCTGTATATTAACTTGCTCGGGAGAAAAAAAATTAAATGTAAAACATGCCGAAACCCCATGTTATTTAAATAGAAAATGTATCGTCTTTGTGGCACATAAACTAAAAATTTAGGGGGCACTGCGAACAAAAAAAAAACAAGTTGATAAATAACGGACAGCCTAAAGTCATATTTAAAATACATAATTTTCTAATAATTTTTTTTTTTACATTTTTATGGAGTTTTTGTAAATGATGACTTTTATCGTGGAAAAAGCGTTTGAAAAACGGGACACACTTTAAATTAATTTTAAAGCAATACTTTGGTTTAGGTTTGTAAACATCAAGCAGTATTTTCATAACATAAAATGCTATATAAAAAGTAGTGGAATTTATTTTAGGTGTGTTATTTAATTTAAAGTAAAGATATCTGTTTAGGTTTTCCGCTAATTTAAAAAAGCCACTGCCGTGCAGGTTAAACGTAAGTTATTTGGCTCGTGTTCCTCGAGTGCTTGCCTGCCTTCCGTTGATTGGACTCTGGATCTTGCAGGCAGCTTCCTGGTCTTGATTGATGGCACAGGTTCATAACGATACCGACCGTTCTACATCACCTGTCCTTTAGACCACAGAAAACGTCAATACTGCCAGCAATAAAACGAACTGTTTTTAATGATCCATACAACAAATTGCAATTAATTATCATAATTACACTAGGAAACACCACATTTGCAGTAAAGGTGTGTCGTTTAAGTTTCAATAATGCAACAACTTTAAATATAAGGAGTTTCTTTGGTATTTTAGAATTTTTAGTAATTGATGGTTTTGTAACTTCGTTAAAATAGGATGGATCATATCCATTGAATATAAATTTCATGTGAGTTCATTTACGAAGTGGATAAATAAATTACACTGATCAACAATCATTTTGGTGCAAAATTAAATTATATATTCAAACATTCAAAGTTTCATTACTTTTCAAAATTGCTAAAACTACAGCAAACAATTTCTGTGCAAGTTTGATAAATTTGTATCTATCTACTCCAATTGGGTGTAAATTTCAACGCAATCAAATAAAAATGCACAAAATGGCAGTTATACCAAACGCGCATGTCAACATTACTAGTTACGGTTATTTCCGGTCCCGGCGCTTTTAAATAAATTATGTGAACAGTAATGAATTGAAAGATGTATTTTAAGATAACAAACAAAAAAATGACACTGTTTAACAAAATTATACAAAATATATAAAAAACGTTTTTGCATGAGTAACTAAAGTCGAAATTTTCTATAACGCGAATTATTAAAATATCTACATTTTACTGATTAAAACATATCTGCGTCCAAGTCAAAGTCATTATACAAATAAATCGCTCTTTATTAGTCAAATAAAAAATGTTTTTTGTTATATATAACTTATAAGTAAACAAATATGTTTTTGATTTTTATTTATAATACTGGAATTGTATACTTACTACAATATTTGTAGTAAGTATTAAGGCCATTTTAGTCAAGAATTTTAATAAAGTTACTTACTTTTTCTACTCCCACATTTACAACGCCCATGGCATTATCGTACATGCTTCCATAACACTAAGTGACCTTATAAATACACATTGAGAGGTTCTGGCTTTATGGCCTTTTGGCCACGGGCTGAAGTTAGTTTTAAGTTAGTTGACAGTTGTCAAAAGTCATACAATCATTAAAATAAAGTGCCTTTCTTATAAAATAATACTGAATGTAAAAATTATTTTATTATCTCGATACAAAATTATTAAATAGTTTTTTGACATCAATATTTAAAAAGATTATATGAACGTTTGTACT